GAAAAGTGCTCTCCAGGGCAAGTCCCCCGCAGCACCCAGGCAGGCACCTGCGTGGGACACGAAGCCCAGCCAACAGGCCCGTGAGGGCTGAGCAGGGATGTGCCCAGAGCAGCTACTCCCCCTCCCCGGGTTCTGTCGTCCTTGAAATGACATGAGCACAAAGAGGTGCCTGGGGACCTGGGCTGGGTGGCTGCAGACACCAGGGGAGAGCCTGCCGGAATCAAGGTACCTCCCCGGGCCTGACAGTCACCTGGCATGGGGGCACAGCCAAGCCAGCGTCTGCCCACAGTGGGCCCCCTGTGGCTCGAACGACCATTCCCCCAGGTCTGAACCTGGCCCTCAGACAGTAAGGCAAGCTGTGGGGCTTGGGGTACACAGGGTGTCCTGGTTGCTCATGAGGCTCTCACACAGCCGCTGCAGCCACTGGGTGGGCTGTCCTTGGATGTGCAACAGGGAGGGCTACAGCAGGGCTGGCAGGAGGGACTGCAAAGAACTCGGGCCACTGGGCTCAGCAAGACCCACTGTCTAGCCACACCCACACCAGCACCATGGACCCTCTGATTTCCTACAATCAACCGTATCTCTGGAGGTAGGGGTGGGGTGGGGGGCAAGCACTTTGAACCCCGGCTGCCCGGTGGCACCTCCCTCACACTGGAGCTGCACAGACACCCGCCCAGTCACCAGCTCCGGATGCCCACCTGCCCCCGGCACCAGCCCTGCACGCCACCCACACTGGGCATCAGCTTGGCCACCCTCAATGGCCCCAGGCATCAAGCCGGTGCCCTCACCTGCTCTGGCCATCTGTCCGGTGCCCGCACCCTCACCTGCCCCAGGCATCAGCCTGGCCACCCTATTGCCCCGGGTATGAGCCCAGCATCCTCACTGGCAGGCTCCGGAGCTCCACATATCCCCTGTGGAGCCCCGGTGCCCCCTCCGCCTGGCCGTGTCCCCACATCACTGGTCCCCACCTGAGGGTCTGTGGATGTCTTCTCTGCTCCCGCCCCAGGACGTGAGCTTCTCATGTGCAGATATTTTGGTCAGTCTGAGTGTCCTAGAGGTCACCAACAGTCTGATCCCTAATGGGCTCTGTGCTCGTGTTGAGGAAATGTGTAAAGTATTAAGAAGAGCCAAGAGCCCCACATACCATGCAGTGCACCACACACACGTTTCTGTGGTCTTGCTTCAGCCACGAGTGCATGTTCCTGCAGATGCTGTACAGACTGTGCAGACCTGGCGCCCGCCTGGCAGCCCAGCCACACTCTGACACCTGCAGGGAGAAGAGGGCACTCAGCTCACAAGGCACGGGGCCCCTGCAGACCCACCCGTCCCTACTTTGTCAGGGTCTTTTCTTTTTAAAAACCAGGAATGAGGGGCTTTGGCATCCGTCAAATGACATCTCCTGGGACCCGCTGATAGTGGCGGCCCCATGCCACTTAGAGTCTGCTGCTTCCTATGCACCTGGTCAGTTTAAGTAAGGCAGCGGGGCCCCAAGGGTTTGAATACGGTAAAGTGTTGGGGCCCCGAGTGTTTATGTCTCAAGAAGGCCTTCACCAGCGCAAGCACTCTGGGGGTCCTGGAGGAACCACAAAAGTTGAGCTTCTAAAGCCCCTCCCACCCTTTTGGCTCAACCACTGTGTCAGCTTGCCCTTAGTTACTGTGCACTGCAGGGACCAGGAAGTCAGGGGGTAAGGAAGAGACAAGAGCTCCTTCTAACCAGCTCTGGCCCCAAGCACGTGCAGTAAGGAGGGGCTGTGTCTGCTGGATGAGCCCCTGGAGCAATGTGCCGTCCGAAGACCAGAAGGGACCGCAGAGCAGCGATGTCCCGCCCAGGGAAGACCAGCAGCAGCAGCAGCTGAAGGCCACTTCTTGTCCAACGAGAGTCCCCACCTCGCCCTGACTGTGCACTGGACCTCCCCGAAAATCACTGAACACGTACAACTTCCCTACTTCCGAGCCCTATGAAAGGCTATTCAAGCTTTGCCTTGAGGAGTCAAACAGGCAAGGCCCCCGGCTCCCCGATGTGCTGCACGTCAATAAACCACCTTTCACTCACCCAAACTCTGGTGCGAGTGGGCCTGCTCACTGCTGGACCACACCTCCGAGTCCTTTATACCAACACCCGTCACTTTCTGCCCTGGCACCCTTCCTGCACTCACTGGCTAAGATCTTTTTCCTAGAAAGCCACTGCATCAGCCAGGTTTCTAAATCTGCAAGCAAACCACAGCCCTGCTGTGGCCCCCAGGTCACTGCTGCGGCCCCCAGGTCACTGCTGCGGCCCCCAGGTCACTGCTGCGGCTCCCCAGGTCGTCTCCAGACCTATGCACCTTCTCCTATGACTTACTCCTCGTTCCGGGCCATCTGGCTTTCTTCAAGAGCTTGGACCTAAAGGCTTTCGCTGTCTTGGACTCACCCCCCACCCCAGCTCGAGTCTTCTGCCTTTTCCCTGCTGTGTCCCTTGTGTGATGGGTGCTCAGGAGCCAGAACTGCTCTCGTGGCAACAGGACTCGGGTGTTTGCTGTCACGGCCTCAGGGCTGTATGAACCTGCCTGGGACCCACGTCAGATGAGCCGCATGGGCGCGTTCCCTGTGCCTCAGTCCCAGCCATTGTGCAGGGGCTGCTGGCACCGACCTCTAAGAACGGAGGACTTGAGTGGGGATCGAGGAGCTGGGAGCCACCACCTGGACACACTGGCACGGTCCCACCTCCTACAGCCTCACGACTGCTCCTTCTCATAAGCTCAGGAATGCTGGCTCTCAGGAATGGAGGCAAAAACACCCTGGTGCCCGAGAGCAGATACGGCCACCCACCACATCCCATCCTCCCACCTTGCCCAGGGCCAACTGTGGGGGTGGCTCTGGGGTGGAAAGGCCATGCCTGGTGGCAGGAGCAGGCTAGGGGTGGGTACAGCAGATTTTGGGGCACCATCTGGCAGCATGGCTCCTTACCTGCCCCACCCCTCATGTGCTGCGGCCTGTTCCCCAGCTCCCCTGCTCCTTCTATGAGGAGGCTCAAGCTCCACACGTAGGCTTGGCACAGGCTCTTCCCCACAGGGGGCCCTTGTCACCCCCATGCCATGTCACTCCACTGTGTTTCATCTGGGGCTCGAACATCCGTGTCCTTAAGAGACGAGTGTGTTTCTGGGTTTACGGTGCTCGGTGCTTCAGTCGGGTACTCACACCAGGCAGCCCTGGGCCGCCTCCTCAGCAACTTCTGCAGAAGACTCTTCCCCACCTTGTGTGCCGCTTGGCACCGCCAGTCAGCGTGGGGGGTCCTGTGCCACGCAGCCCCTCCTTCTCCTCCCAGGAGTGGGCCCTGGTCTGCAGCACTCTGTCCCAGGCGAGTGCAGGTGTCCCATGAAGCCACTCTGAGGCCCTGGTCGTGCAAACGTGGTGGCCGCCACTCCAGCCCGTCTGCTGGCTTTGCCTGTGGTGCCCTTGTTCCCCAGCCCACCGGCTCCAAAGCTCTGCCCCAGATCTGGGCATATAGCCATCTCCTCCAGGCAGCACCTGGAGACTACCAACCACTCACCCGATTGTGGAACCGGGAGGGCCGGTACGTCCTGGGGGACAGGTTGTAGACCGCGTAGTGTCCGGGGTGCTTGGAGTCCAGGAAGAGCCGCACATCCTCGATGTTGTTTTTGATTGCGGACTCCACACCTTCGGCCGGGAACGACATCACTGCAACAAGAGGTGAGTCAGCCACACGGTGGCAGCATCCAGGGCTGCCCATGTCCTGGGCCCATCCCGGTGCCCCTGGAGCCCTGTACCGTGCAGCTCCCCCAGGCAGTCCAGCCCGATGGCTACATCAGGGCCCTGCCCCTCAGCCCCCATGGACGCCAGTCTGAGCTGCTTATTGACCTTCACAGCAGACAGACAGCAGGTGCACCAGGAGGGTAGAGTGTGACACTCCCATACCCACCATCAGCAACTGGAACCAAGGAGCCCAGCACCCCATCCCCCCCCCTTTAGCCATCATAGCTGAGGAGCCCGGTGGGCGGCACGCACATTGAGCTCTCGAGCAGTGACTCCCAGGGGCCCGGGCCCTGTGCAGCAGGCGCACACTTGCTGCCCGAGGCGCAGACTTTAACCGCCTCCATCTCTGTGCACCACCCCCTTCACGACCGCAGGGTTCCAGAGAGTGAAAGACCAGGAGGGAAGCTGGCTGCTGGGCACAGCCCATCACACGGCCACAGGGGTCTCCACAAAGCCACTGTGTCTCCCACTGCAAAGCCCATGGGACCCCAGGCACTCACAGAGCCCTGTGGGACCCTCTGGTGCTCACAGGACCTCTGGGCACTCAGAACCCTGTGGGACCCCCTGAGGCTCACAGGCCCTCAGTGGGGCTCTGTGCTGCAACTTGGCCCAAGAGGCTGGAGAGACAGGGCTTGCTAGCCCAGGCCAGCCATGGCCCAGCACCCTGACATCCTGCCAGGGATGCCCTGGAAGCCAGCACCCTCCTCACAAGTTGCCAGAACAGGAGACTCAGGAATGCGTTCTTACGGTTAAACCAGACAGACATACCGGCAATTCTGGATGTAATGTAGGATACGTCCAAGTCTCCCTTCGCATAACTGAAATGAGAAGAAAAAGCCTGTGGTTATCACAGGGTCATCCCACTACAGTCACCGGAGCAGACACTGAGGCCTGATTCAGGGGGCTGTGGGGCTGGAGACTGCATTGTCACAAGGATACATAGCATGTGTGCACATGTGTGCTGGTGTGTAGGGGGATGGGGAGTGCATGTGTGTACAGGTGTGCTGGTGTGCAGGGGGAGTGCATGTGTGCACATGTGTGTTGGGGTGCATATGTGTGCACACATGGGAGTGTGGGTGTGCGTGCAAGTCTGGGTTTACATGTGTGTGGGTATGTGGGAGTGTGGGTATGCATGCGTATGTGAGTGCTTGTGTCTGCATGTGTGGAGTGTGGGTGTATATCTGTGCACATGTGCAAGTCTGGGATTGCATATGTGTGCGTGTGTGGGAGTGTGAGGGTGCATGTGTATGTGAGTGCTTGTATGTGCATGTGTGGGAGCATGGGTGTATATCTGTACACATGTGGGAGTGCGGGTGTGCATGTGTGCAAGCCTGGGTTTGCATGTGTGCACGTGTGTGGGAGTGTGGGTGTGCATGTGTGCGAGTCTGGGTCTGCATGTGTGTGCGCATGTGGGTGTGCACATGTGCAACTGTGTATGGAGCTGACACTTCCATCAGAGCTGGATAAGAACTTAAGAAACTTCAGCACCACTACACCACACCTTGTGCCCCTGCTCCCCGCTCAGAGGAAAAGTCAAAACACGTCACCCAAGAACAGAACATGTTGGTGGCTAGAGTCAACACTGCAGAGAGCACCTGTCCCCAAACAGATCTCTCAAATCCATCAAATAAAATGCAAACTGAGAGGCACCAGTGACTGCACTTGGAAACTGGTAACAACCTGAGTGTGGAGGGGACGGGCAGCTGAGGCCTACCGCCTCCTGAAGCTGAACTAGGCTCTTCTGCCAACACGCAGAGGCCTTGGGTGGCCGGAGTGCCCAGACACACCCGTGTGGAGGGCAGGTGCTCCCACAGCTCAGCCACACATCAGGTCAGGGGAAGGGATGGGCTGCGCCCCTCACACCACTGCTGTCAGGTGCCCAGCACAGAAGGAACAGTGACATCAAACCTCAGCAGAGAGAAGGGCTGGCCCCTTCTGCCATCTCCCCGTCCAAGACCATTCGTGTGTCTGACAAAGGACCAACATGTGTTCGCCTTGAGAAGCATCATGAAGTCCTGTGTCTTCATGTATTTGAAATGTTACCACTAAACCTTCTCAGGCTCTGGCCGGTGAAGAGCCCTCAGGCTGGTTTCTGTCCTGGGAAACGAGCCCAGTCGGCTCTGCTAATTTTGCTGTCAGACGAGACCAGAAGTCTATAGCTCCTCATGCCCGGTCCTGGCCCAGACCTGGGTCATCAAGGAGATGGCCTCCCCGCTGTGGGGAAGGGTCAGAAGGAGCCACAGTCTGGATGCTTACTGCCACTGGGCTGTCACTGCCTGTAGGCCTCACCGTGGGGAGAGCTGAGAAAATGAACACCCACGCCCCGGTATTTCCAATTCCCCTAAGAACGCAGGCCTGTTTAAGCACGCATCCTGGGCAGAACCACGCTGACACAGAAGGCCACTGGAGATCGCTATTCTTGAAAGGCCTGCCTGCAAGGCTGGACCTGGAACTTGGCCTTCAGGGGGCTTCCCACCAGCCCAGCTGACCCACTGGCCGGGAGTGGCCCACTGGGCCTGCACTGGGAGGAAACTAGGTGGTTTATGCTGAACGACTGCCTTCCTCTAGGGAGTCTGTAATTTTGTACATCCAGAAGGTAGTGAAGGAGCTCTGGTGGCATAGTGCCTAAGGCATCTGACTGCTAACCAGAAGGCTGGCGGTTCAAACCCATCAGCCACTCCCCAGAACGAAGACTGGGCAATCTACTTCCATAATGATACCACCTCAGAAACCCAAGGAAGGGTCTCTATGAGTCAGGTCCGACTCAATGGCAGTGAGTTTTTCAGTTCAGAGGGTACTGATGTGACCAACTCTAACAAACACTCTGGGTGCTGAGTCTCTAATGCGCTTCTCTGGTGGACTCGCTGCTGGGGTCGCCCAGCGTGTCCTGGGCGAATCCTCAGGGAGAGCGCTCTTGGACGCTCGCACCTGGTTTCCCCAGGCTCCGCCCCACGCATCCTCTCCCTGTGCTGCTCCTGCTCTGTCCTTTGACTGTGACCAACCACAGCCGTCAGTGCGACTGGCTGCCGAGCCCCAGCAGTCCTCCTGGAGAACGGGCGAACCTCGGGGTGGGCTTGGAGACTTTGACCTACATCCTTTTCCTGTTATTTTGGAAATCCCAATTCCTAATGACATTAAACTTAATTTCTTATTTGTTTCATCCTTTTCTCTTTCCATCTCCCATTTGATCCCCCATCATCACTAACGACAAGGTCACTGAATACAGTGTAAAACTCCTGGGTGACTCCTTCTGTCCTTGGGGTACATCTCACTCCCATTCTCCTCAAGTTAATTCCGACTCATAGCAACCCTGCAGGGCAGAGGAGAACTGCCCCCATAGCATGTGCACGGCTGTCTCTTTATGGAAGCTGTCTGACCCACCTTTTCCCATGGAGTGGCTGGTGGGTTTTAACCACCAACCTTTTGGTTAGTAGCTGAGTGCTTGAGCACCGCCAGCAGGGCGCCACTATCAGGCAGGAAGCAGGATGCTGATGGTTGGGGCAGAATTGAAGACAAAGGGGCCAGGCCACTCAACGCCATCCTCAGACAGGGAAATGATCTCAGTCATGCACCACTGCCCGGGTCTGCCATACCCTGCCGGCCCTGGGGTGTGCCCCATCCTCAGCATAAGCCTGTGGGATGAATGGCACCCCAAGCATACATACAGAGCACCCATGGCATGGGACCGTCACCATGTGGTCACCCCGTGCTCACAACCACAGTCTCTGAGGCCATGGGCTCAGTGCCTTTGGCGTGAGTACCCCTGCAGGAGCCCCCACCCCTGAACAAGACAGCCAGCGTAAGCTGGGGCAGTGCACCATTCAAGCAAGTGCACTCCCAGTGTCTCCATTAGAAGGGATGAAGCAATGAACAAGAAGCCACGTTCTCCCACCTCTGTTCTATTTCTCTTCAGGTAAGAGCAACATGCCCACCACACAGCTCCCTCCACAGGGCTGTTTATGGGCCAGGCGGCCCCAGGCACCAACAGACCTGGGCTGCAGCCCTGCAGCATCACCCAAGAAGGCGCGGCGTGCTTGTGGCATGCACCCTGGGGCCCCAGCCACGCTTCAATGCTTCTATTATGGAAGGTGAAACTGGCAAACACAAAATTCTGCAAAGCCAGCTGATCAGCATAATGCACGCACCCCACTCTCAGAACCACATGCATTTACCTGGTACTGCAGGCAGGTATGGTCACAAAATGATGATCATTGCACAAAAGAAAACACAAATGAAAATGAGGCCAAAAGTTCCAGAGAACACAAGCAATAAACACACCTCACTGTGGACAGCGACACAGTCAGCAACAACTAGCATCCAGCTCTCACATCAGCGGACAGGCTCATGACTCAAAACTGGGAAAAAACCACGATACCCCAAGAAAACCACAAGAGCAAAAAAGTACCTAAGCTAGATTCACTCCGCCTGGTCCCAAAGGACTCAGTGACTTAAATATAAGTGCTTCCCTGCTCCCAGACAACTCATAATGCTCTCACACAAAAAAAACCCTTCCGTTAAAGCACCCAGACCACAGAGACCACATTCACTCACACTGGCCACACTGGCCCACGTTTGCTCCTACTAGCCACACTGGTTCACGTTCCCTCTCCCTGGCCCATGCTCACTCACACTGGGACATGTCTGTTTACACTGGGCAATGTCCACTCACACTGGCCCACGTACGTACACACTGGCCCACATTCACTCACACTGGACAATGTCCACTTACAATGACCCACGTATGTGCACACTGGCCCACGTTCACTCACACTGGGCAACATCCGCTCACACTGGCCCACATACATGCACACTGGCCCACGTTCACTCACACTGGGCAACATCCGCTCACACTGGCCCACGTACATGCACACTGGCCCACGTTCACTCACACTGGGCAACGTCCACTCACAATGACCCACGTATGTGCACACTAGCCCACGTTCACTCACATTGGGCAACATCCACTCACAATGACCCACGTACATGCACACTGGCCCATGTTCACTCACATTGGCCTACGTTTACTCATCATTGGTCTACTCTATATATGTGGACACTGGCCAGACTGATTTACTCACCCTCTTCTATGTTTGCTCACACTGATCCATGGTCACACACACCAGTCACAATGGCCCATGTTCACTCACACTGGCCCATGTTCACTCACACTGGCCATACTGGCCCACGTTCACACACACTAATCACACTGGCTCAAGATCACTCACACTGGCCTACATTCATGTACACCAGTCATCATGCTGTTGTTATGTGCCGTCAAGTTGGACCCAACTCATAGCGACCCGTCCTTGGGTTTTCGAGGCAGTATCACTACGGAAGTAGATTGCCCAACCTTCCTTCAGAAGAGTGGCTGGTGAGTTTGAACCGCCAGCCTTCTGGTTAGCAGTCAAGCGCCTTGGGCACTATGCCACCAGTGACCCGTATTTACTCACTCACACCGGCCCCTGTTCACGCACTGGTATACCTTTGCTCCAGAGCTTTGAACTGGTCCATTCTAATGTGACCCCCTGCTGAGATTCAGCATTCACACCCCAGATACACTGAACCAGAATCTACTTTTTAACAAGATCCTCAGGTGATCCCTATGTATACACAAGAATCATCCGAGAACCTTGTTAAAAGGCAGATTCAGTATCTCTAAGGTGGCAATGGAAATTCTCAGCAGGGAGTCAAGCCAGAATGAACTGGTCTGGAGCCCTGGTTTGTTCACACTGGTCCCCGCTAAGGTGCACTAGCACACACTGGCAGTCACCGGGGTACAGTGGTACATGCTGGTGTACAATGGAACACACTGGCACAAACAGCAAGTGCCTCTGGCGGAGGAGTGGAGAAGGGGTTGTGGGCTAGCATGTCTGCCCAGCTGCACCTGATGTCCTAAATGATGAAGCCACTCAGACTCTGGTCCCGGCACCAGGCCAACCCTGCCCCAAAGACTGGGGTGCACTGCTCGCTCCCCAAGGATCTGTTGGCCCTAACTCATGATAGACACAGAGTCATCCGCAGACAGAGAAGGCAGGCAGGGTTGGTACCCTGCCCCTCACATCACCAACAGCCAGGACTATAGACTCACCCGCACTGGGAGAGGTAGGGAACCCCGAGAGGCAGCACAGTGTCTAGAACATGAAAACACCATGTGCTGTCTCAATATGGGGTTTGGGGTGGCTGTGACACACCTCCTGGTACTGCCTCTCACACTGACCTCTGGGCTCCCACACTGGTACTTACTTAGCAACAGACTGAATGACCTTGGAGGAGGTGTCCTTGAGGTTGGTGAAGAGCCGCTCGGTGCCTCCTCTGAGGATGTCCAAGAACCCGCTGTAGGACTGGTCGTACTCAGCAACAGTCAGGCCTGGAAGCAGAGATGAGTCAGAGCAGGTCTGCAGGCATGTGGCAACCCTCACTGTGGTCCTCGAGGGGCCCGGAGCAGCAAGGGGGACAAGCCACGGCCAGCCTCCTGCCAGCTCCCCATCACCCATGCCCAGACAAGGGGACAAAGACATGGCCTCAGAGCTTCTGTCAAGCCTGAGGAAGGTGACAGGAGCACACCAGAGCCAACCAGGTCCTGACACCTGCGCCCCACTCTCAGAGGCTGTGTGCTGCCCAGAAAGCCCTTGGCTGCAAGTGGTAGCTAAAGGTGTGGGCAGTGGCACCCTCAGGACCCACCTCAGCGCCCAGCTCTGCTCCCCGGGCTCTCCCTTGCAGAAAAGAGGTCATTGCTGCATCTGCCCCGGCACCAGGCATTGCCTGCTGCCTCCTGACCAACATGGAGGGTCCACAAGGAACCTATGGCATGCTAGAACTTCCTACTGTGAGCACACATCCTTCGTGCCTGAAGCCGAGACACCAGGAATGAAGGGAGCTGCTGGCAGGCGGGCCGAGGCAACAGACACGGCACTGAGCCCACTCTGCCCAGCCTATGCCAAGGGCAGCCCCAGGGCCCCTGCTCCCATCCTCTCTGGGTGACCCTGGGCAGGATTATGTGTGAGGCCTCCCCACATGCACCATCTCTGAGTCATCTCCCATGGCCCTCTCTCCTGCTCCAGAAGGTGATGTCCACTGAGCCATGTCCTCAACACCTATGAGCCCTGCTGGGACCCGGCCCTGCCACAAGTGGGTACTGGCGGGGACAGCTTTCCACCACTGAACTCGTGGGGAGGAGATGGGTGGTCTCAGAGGTTGTGAGGCCGCTGATATGGGAGGAGGGGAGGGTGGAGAGGCCTGCAAGGGAGGATGCAGGGGCTAGTCAACAAGCAGAATCACGGCTCAGGGCTTCACACAGGTGCTCCCTGGGTGGGTACACGGCTCACCAAGGCCAGAAAGCAGCAGACAGGCACCCCTAAAGGGCGGTCAGGTGTAACCACAAGGCAGCCCAGAGTTAACAGAGGGCTCGGAACAACAGGGAGTGAGCTCGTGCCCCCCCCCATTCAGAAAGAGCTGTCCGTGTGGCCACGAAGAGTGGCAGGTGCAGAGGGGCTCAGGACACCCCGAAGCCAGACCTGGACCCCTGCACCAAGCCTACACTGGGCAGGTGTTGGGGAAAAGAGCACACAGGCCTGGAGATGTGCAGTGGGACTGCCAAGGGGCTTAGCTTGAGGGGAGGAGACCAGGCAAACCCAGGAGACCGAGGTGGGGAGATGGGCCTGCCCCTCTGGCAGAGCTGGGCACTGAGTCCTGGTCCCGCAACCCAGGAGCCACAGCGACAGGCTGGGGAGCAAGTCTGGTCATTCCCTGGGACCTCCACAGTACCAGGAGGCAGTGGCCTCACACCGGCCCAGCCAACCAGCTGCAAGCCAGCCCAGGCCCCAGCAGTTCTGACCACTGTCTTAGCCTATCTGAGGACCTATCTAGTCACGTAACGATCTAGGCGGTAAAAGGCCGCAGAGCTGAAGTACCACAAACACACACACTCTCGCTGGGATTCACTCCATCTGGAGGCTGGGCCACCACAGGGGTGGTCGCAGAGAGCTGCAGCACCGAGCTGAGCACCTCCGACAGCTGCTGACCCAAATACAGACAGAGTGCTGGCCAAGGAATGCAGAGTCCTTCTAGAGCACAGGAGCTGGTGGGGAGAAGGTCTTAAAGGAACGGTGGTGGCAAAAAGTTGATGAGCAAGAGAGAAAACCCAACACACAACCCCACGTCACATACACACGTGGAGACAAGGCTGCCCGCAGGTGACAGGGCCAGCGGAGCTCCCAGCTCAAGGGCCGGGGGCTCTCTCAGACTGCATGCAGGCGGTGTCCAGCGGGGCCAGCCCGAGGACTTTCCCAGCAGGCTCAGAATCAAGACCCTCCACCCCCAGAGCTCCTCTGTACGCCTGCTGGCTTCCCACATTGTCTGCAGCAAAGCGAAGCTGCTCAGAGACCCTCTGAAAGCTTCCTTTGAATGGAGCCTCAAGAGTGAGCTTGCCCTGCAGCTGGCAGCAGGGGTACCCACAAAGCAGGGGTACCAGCAGACGTGCCCACCCACGCCCCAGCCCAGGGTCAAGGAAGGGTGAAGACCCCCATTTCCTCTCAGGGAAAGAGAAGGCAGGGCACACCATCCTTCCAGAGCAAACACAGCCCTGGCCAAGCTGCCCCAGAAGGGCCTAGGCTGCAGGCAGGAAGGTCGCCCTTCCGGTGGTCACTCCCCCTCCTGCCAGCCTTACACTTGCTCAGGGGCCCTTCTACTTCTGACCTTTAACACGGTCCACCTGGCCTGCCTCCCCAAGCCACCACCTCTCCCCTCCGTTTCCTGGCCACATCGTTTCATTAATCAATTCTAAGCATGCGTCCTTCCAAAAAAGGCAGTCTATCTTATCAAAAGGGGGAAAGTGAGAAAACAAGTAGTGCTTTGTGCAGCGCCTGGCTCCGCTCTTCCCAGTGCAGCTGTGCTCTGTGCAGGAGTTTTGCACACACACGGGACGGAGTTGGCCACAACGCCAGGTGCGGCTTTTCCCTGTGGTCTGCCCATCAGCGTCTCACCGCAGGGAACATACACAGCCGTGGCCGCCCGGGCCTCTCCTGGAAGCCTCTCTCCCAGCCCGCAGCAACACCGTTTCTCACTGGCCCAGGATGCGCAGGCCGTCACATGTCAGCCCCAAGCATCACCCCCACCTGCTTCCATTCCACATCAATCACCCGCCTACCCGGCCTAGAGTTACCTCACACATGGCGGAAGAGCACCCACAGCAACAGCAGCCTGGGGGGCCTAGCGGCGCCCCTCAGGGCAGCCCACTTCAGGTCTCACGTGGCTTGATGCTTACAGCTGATCTCATCAACAAGCAGCAGTGTCCAGCCTGTCCTCGACCACTGCATTCAGTAATGACTGAAGTGTTAGAACTTGGCCACCTCAGGACTCACGCTTCCAACCACGCACCATGTCAGCCTACAGTACATGGTGCGCGGGCCGTCTGCACCAACTGTGTCCAGCAAGAGGGCAGCCAGGGCTGGCCTGGGGGTATGGCTTGTACGTGAGAGCCACGAGTGTGGGGGTGATGGGCCTGCCTGCAGATATGGGATGCCCAGGACAGAGGGGTGGGCCAGGTGTCAGTGACATGACCCCCAACCTGGGAAACAAAAAGCTGAGGAAGAACCCAGGGGAATATGTCCACTGCCCAGAGAGAGTGGTGGGTAGAGTGGTTAACATGCACTCAGCACTGTCCCAAGCACCACCGTCAGTGCCCAGCAGAGGATGCCGCCTCGCCAACACCTCCCTGGCCCACAGCCTCATGTGCTCTGGCCAGCATGCTGGGGCTGCACATATATGGTGTTGGCCACAGCCCACAGAACCTTCCCTGAGCGCCTCCTGGTGTCTCTCCCTAGGAGCTGGGGCCCTGAGACACAGCGGTGCCAGGGCTCAGGATGCCCAGCATCTAGGCACAGTGCCTGGGTATACAACAGGTGCCTAACACACATCGGATGAAGTGGAACATTAACGTCATTCATCCAGATGTGACCCAAGGAGCAAGGAAAATCCACTGGCTTCAAGCTATTTCTGGAGTCTGACTGCTTCTCCTGTCTCTTTGGAGCTTCCCTGTCCAAACCATCACTGCCTCCTAGAAGCACTCCTGGACCCTGCCTCACCCACCACTGTATCTCCTCACCCTGAAGTGGAGGACCCTCTCCCCAAAAGGACCTAATGGTTCCCAATCCCCTCAGAGGGGAAGCCAAGTCCTAGCAGTACCCCAGGTCCCACACGAGGTTCTTCCCTCCATACACTCACCCCCTTGCTCCCTCTGCTCCCCTACAGCTGGCCTCCTTGGCTGGACCACTTAGGCCACAGGCTTGTGCAGGGCTGTCCCCTCAGCCTCAGATTCCCTCGGCTCCATCAGGACCTCACTCAGACTTCTTAACAAGCCACCTCATACCACTTCCTGGCACCCTGATTCCCATCACACCTGCTCTATCTTTCCCCTCAGCACCTGCCGCTTTCTAATACATTAAACTATACATAGTAAACTATACGGTAATATATGAGACTACATGGTTCCTCATCATCCCCTTACTGTCCATGTGCAGTAAATGACTAGCCTTCCCAAACACAGTGTGGCCCCTCGCCTCCAGGTCTAAGCCCTTGGAATGTCCCACTCGACAACTGTCTTTGTCCACCTGAGGACACTGGGGCACACAGCATCAGCTTGACCTTTGGGGGAGTGATATCTAATGTCCACATGACCAACCCCCAGTAATATGTCTGGCCACCAGCACTCAGGGACGTGTGCCTTGTTGGCAAGACTCCATGTGTGTTGTCACACACTGTAGCTGGGAGAGGTGTTGTCCTCCACGTCTCCACTGGGAGAGCCAACGGAAGCCCACACCTGGAACTCTCCTGGACTCTGCCCCACACACCTTTTCCCGCTGCTGACTTCAATCTGCGTCCTTTCACGGTAACACAATGTTACCATGAGTGGAACAGCTCTGCTGAGTTCTGTGGGTGCTCCCAGTCAATCACTGACCTGAAGATGGTTTTGGTGTCAGAAATAGGATTTGCTAGAATGACCATGACACACACTAAACATGGCAACAACATCATCTGGGAAAATGAAGGATGAGAGGGATTCCTGGATGGCCACCAGGACACCCATGGTATGAAATTACAGCTATAATACAACTAGCTCCAAAGGTTACATTACCAAAGGAATTTAGACACGACGACAGAGCCGAGTCCAGAGGGGCTGGCTCAATACACGTTGTTCTCGTTGTCAGATGCTGTCGAGTTGGCTCTGACTCGCAGCAACCCTGCGTACAACAGAACAAAACAATGCGCCATCCTCACAGTCCTTGCTATACTCGAGCCCACTACTGCAAGCCACTGTGTCAATCCATCTCATTGAGGGTCTTCCTCTTTCTCGCTGACCTGCTACTTTACCAAGCACGACACCCCTCTCCAAGCACTGATACCTTCTGACAACACAGCTACCTCTGACTGTTGACTATTCCGAGTACATACCTCCCTGGTATTACTGTCCACTTCATAGGCCTGTCTACCATTTGGCTGACAGTTAAACCATGAAGATGAGTTTGGTTCAGGCTTGAAGGGCCATCAGTTTGGAGGAATTTAAAACCTCGCAAGGCAAAGATGGTCGTGAGGAACCTGACTTCAAACCCCACGGGGCAAGGTCCAACAGACCAACCAAGAAGGGGCCTGATAGAGAAATCAGGGTCTGCTGACTCAATGCCCATCACTCCTGTGGGGACCCACGGCAACAGTCAGACTGGGAAGACATGGGGACACAAGCATTGGTAGGATCAAGGTTAGTGTATGGGTGAAACTGGAATATCTGAAGAGATGTCATGTGCCGTGGTTGCAGCTCCTTCGTGTGCACGTATTACTGGCATGTATGCTGTGAACATGTCCCCTCCCCTTCCTGGCACTGTCAAAGAGGCCGCATGTGGGGGTGCCCTTCAGCCACTGACTGAAAAAAAACTCACTCATTGCCGTCAAGTCGGATCTGACTCATAGTGACCCCTCCTTGGGTTTCTGAGGCAGTATCTCTACAGAAGTAGATTGTCTAATCTTCCTTCCAAGGAGTGGCTGGTGGGTCTGAACCGCCAGCCTTCTGGTTAGCAGTTAAGTGCCTTAGGCACTACACCACCAATTAGTACACACTAATTAACTAGATACGTTAAATGGGGACCTATGAGACTGCCCAAGCTCACAAAGATCATTCGTTTCAAACACCACAGAATATTTGGCAGACAAAATGAGGTTCCAATTTTATTAGATAATATCCTGCCAGAACTCAGCATCCAGTCCGTGTACTTGGATTCGGGTGGATTCACATTCTACACCTGGACACACTGCCAGTCCCTACTCACAACACTAACTGGAAGAAGGTCCCATGTGAATGGGGCTGATCAAAGGCAAGCCAAGCCTGAACCGCAAAGTGGTCTCTCTCTCAATACCTCTGGTCCCTGCGACCCGCACTCTCCAGATTCTGATGCTGCCATCAGGTTTCTAATCTGTAAATCTTTATGGAACTAGATTGCTCCAACTTCCTTCCACAGAGCAGCTGGTGGGTTTGAACCACCAACCGTCAAGTGCTTTAGGCACTGGGCCACCAGAGCTCCTTCCGATGACTGAAGGACACAGAATCATCCCGTAACCTGAAGCATGCTACAGTCCTGGGTGATGTCCAGCAAACACTCTGATGAGGAAGTGCCCCGAAGAGCACCGCGGGAAGAGGGAGCCAATGTCCCCCTTGCACAGCAGGTGGCCTCTTTTCCGAGGCCGAGGATAGAACTACTGACAGAGCTCCAGGCTCCTACTGCCACCACACAGTGGCATATGAACAGCTCTCTAGCGACCAACAAAGCTTTTGTGTGGATGGCAATTTCAAAGTGGAAGGCCCTGTGTTAAGTCCGGAGGATGGCAAGGCCTGATGAAAGAAGGAAAGACTAACTCAGCCCACCGAGCTCGAAAGCTTGCTAGTCGCCCTGCAGCGACGAGAGAACTTAACAACTTCTACGTTTGTGTTTTTACTGACTCATGGGCAGTGGCCAATGGCCTGGCCATACGGTCAGGTAGGTGGACAATGGCAAACTGGACCATTACAGGTATGCTCATATGGAACACCAAACCAAAACCAAACCCCCTGCCACTGAGCTGATTCTGACTCACAGCAACCCTACAGGACAGAGCAGAACTGCCCCACAGGGTTCCCAAGGCTGTAAGTCTTTATGACAACAGGTTGCCTCATCTTTCTCTCTTGGAGTGGCCGGTGGGTTTGGACCACCAAGCTTTTGGTTAGCATCCCAATGCTTTAACCACAGCACCACCAGAGCTCCTTACATGGGGCAGAGACCTTTCGAAACCACTGTAGGAAATTAAGGGTTGCATTTCAATAGGACATGTCAACATTCACCAACAAAATCTCTTTCAGGACCAGGAAGTGACTGAAAGTGGCAAGCAGATACCTTGGTACTTGTTCGAGGTGGCACCTGGGTCTGTGAAAAGAACAGGCAAGGGAGAAGGGCAGCAGCGCAAAGACAGACTGCGTACCACCAGACTCCCCTCGCACCCTCTAAGGCACAACACGCCAACAAGAGACAGAGAGGGCCAGGCCACATCTGATTCCCCAGGTGGAAGGCACCATCCACCCTGGGCAAAGCAAAGACAGCAGACTGATGCTGGCAGCCCCAGACAGCTGCAAGTGCATCCTGACAGAAACCGACACTTCCCCTGGGCCAGGCTTTGTATACTTGGTGACAGATGGCAATATTCAAAGTGGGGCAGCCACCGCTCCCGTGTGGACAGCGGAGTCCCACTTCTCAGAGCAAGGAGCACACGTGACCACCACAGTGTCCAGCAACAGGAAAGAGGCAGCACATCAAGGCGACGCTTCATGTTGTCCTCCGAGGAACGGGGACTGAGAACTGAACAGGTCATCAAACACACTCATGTTTGAAATGTGATGGGAGGCGGTAGGGCCGGCTTCCCCGTCTCCTGAGTGTGCTCACACTCACACAAGGGGCCCGAGGGGGTGCCCCGCCCCACAGATCCTTCCACTTTCCTGGGGGATCTGAGGAAGAGAGGTGGGGGGATGCTGACATGATTCTACAATTCTTCCCCACATCACCTCAACTTCCTCTTTCCCTACCTGACTCAGCGGCCCCAGGGGTGTGACTGTGGGTGCTGACAACAGCAACGATCCCCAAGGAAGAAGCTGAATTCCTGAGGGCCTGATGGCCGGGGGACTGTGCCTTCACCCCATCTGACCAGGCCGGGACTGACGGCAAACGCAGTTGTACTGCCCAGTGGTCGAGAGGGCCCACCTGTCCTGTACTGGGTTAGCTGACCCTGCATGAATGGGAGCAGGCTGAGGGGGCGCCACTGTTGGACAGGCTACTGCTGCCGGCAAGCTGGGCCAGCAGGGGGCTGTCAGGGTGGAAAGGCCTGGGTGGAAACTCAGTAATGGAGAGGAGGAAACAGGACTGATGGCTGATGGTAAAGGAATGAACACAGGGGTCCCGCAACAAGGGGAAGCCACCACCACCCTGGAGCTGAGAGAGACGGAGAGAGAGAGAGACACCCAGAGCAAGAGGTGGCACTGTTCTGGAGCCACGGTAGTGCGTGCTGAAGAGTGAAGCCGGGGGCTGCCAAGGCCGCTCCTGCTTCTGGGACCTGAGTACATGACCGGAAGCCTGCACGCCTGGGTGGCCTTGCCCTGGGAGGCAGCTCGATTAGACGATAAATATGCTGTTCGGGACCAGCTGTCCAGGTAAATCAGTCTCACTCTAATACTGACCACTGCCCGTGGAGCAGATGCACTGGGTGATGGAAGCAAAGCCTCCTTGGGATGAGAGGCGACGGACACGCTGGCCTGAGGAACAGTGATTGGAGCTGATCACCAGCTGATGCCTATGCTCAGGGGTCCTGCACCCGTTATCAAGAGATAGAAACTGATCAAGGAGGAAACAAGCAACCAAATTAATACAAAAATTGAAAACGCATGGGGTGCCTCTGTCTTTCAATCTACCCTGGCCCACAGCGGCTCCTCCCAATGTCAGGCACCCACCCAGACGCTACTCTGTACCCAGAAGGCTGCCGGTACAGGGATGTGATACAGACGTGGTGCAAATGCTACGCTCAGTGCACACGCTCCAAGATGATCACGCAGAGTGTCCCGGCAAAGGGCCAAGGGGTGGGGGTGCTGCAGACTAAAGGGTTCAGCTCATCCAAGGAAATGACAGGCCCTTTGCTGCCGGCTCCTGGAGGTGATGTCTAGATCCTTACAATGACAAGTCTCTCTGCTCACCTGGGCTTTGAACCACAGCAGACAGTCCATCTAGCAATGCATTCTCAGGCCAAGACAGAGAGCCCACCAGACAATACAATTCTCGGGCTGTGCCAGAGAGCCCACTGGACAACAGAGAGCCCACCGGAAAACATGATTCTCGGGCCATGCCAGAGCACCCATTGGACAATGTGACCTCAGACCACACAGACAGTGCATCGAACCACGCAATCCTTGGACCACAACAGAGTCCATCTACCAATGCAATTCTCAGGACACATGGCATCAGTCTGACCTCTGGGGTGGCTAGACGCTAAGGTCAGACACACAGATGATCTAGGCCTAGGTGACCGGCCCCCAATAAAATCCCTGGACAGCAGGACTCAGGGAAGCCTGCCTGACCAGCAAGACTTCGTGTGTGCTGTCTCACTGCAGCTGGGAGAAGCACATGCTGTCCTCCACACTTTCACTAGGAGGAACAACTGGGAGCTCATGCCAGGAACCCTCCAGGACTCTGTCCCATGCACCTGTTCCTGTTCCTGACTTAAATCTGTATCTTTCCATAGTAATAAAATGTAACCATGAGTCTAACAGCTCCTAGTGGATTACTGAATCTCAGGGTGGTCTTGGGGACCCTTGAACTTCCAGTCTCTCTCTCCCATCAGGCCATACACCTCACAAGAGCAGGGAGTTTTGTCTTTGTCCCCAAGCGCCTTGTGCTCAGTCAGGACTCAGTAACCACAGCCCCAGCACAGAGGAGGAGGCTGTCACCCAGTTGTAAGAAGAGGGGTGGGTCTCAGGGTGCTGCTCCCGAGGATGAAGACAGGTCTTCCGGGGGGGAATCTGCTCCCAGAGTGCCCCCACCCAGGCACTGACCTCCACTGTACCCGCTGCTCACAGGGCCTGAGGGCCGGGCAGCTGGGCATCCAGAAGGGGGTGGCCCTCGGTACTGGGCACAGTTTCCATAGCCTCCGTTCTGCTCCAGGAGCTGCAAAGATGCCAAATGCAAGGAAATCAGTTCTTTACGTTAACCACTACACACATCAGAGCTACAGTCCGGGCCTGCTGTGCACCGTGAAGGAAGCCTTCCCACGTGCCACCACCTAAATGCCTTCCAGTCTGTGCAGTGGAGGCAGCTGGCTTTAATGCGAATCCATCCTTTCCCCTGATTTCTTAAAGAGAGTCTACCTGAACCAAAGAGTAAGTCAGACTTAACAAGAACAACCTCTCGTTAGCCCTTCTGTGTAACGATACCCAGGCACGAAAGCCGCCGCCACGCAGCTGCAGTCACCCAGGAAGTGCCCGTGGAGCTTCCTTCACGGCCAGGCTCTCTGCAGCATATGGGGGAGCACAACCCCAAGGAACGCACCACAGCACCATGGCAACGGGGCACCGGGCCGTGTGGACACAGGGAGACACCGCCGGGCCGACGCTGGAGCACATCCAGGCCTGTGACACACTTAGGCTTCTCTTCAGTGAGAGGGACAGCCGTTAGAGGATTTGGGGAGAGGAGATCCAAAGATGGCCGTATTTGCCCTGGAGGAAGACGCAGACAGACACCGTGCAGAGACGCGGCACTGGGACCAGAACATGGGCAGAGCAGGTGGGGGGTGGGCTGCAGCGGGTTCTGCTTGTACCCTGAAGGCAGGGCAGCTGGACTGCAGACAGACTAGACATAGTACCAAAGGGACGGCTAAGTTAAGACTCTAAGGTTTGGGGCCACAGCACCCAAAAGAACAGAGCTGCTATCCTCCAAGACAGACAGAAAGACTGGAGGAGGAGCATGCCTGGCAGGGAGATTGGGGTGCCTGGTGGAGGAGATGGCTGTTGACGTCGATGTCTCTCTCGCATATCCACATGCAGCTGCCACGGAAGCTGCTGACTGTGCGAGCCCAGGGCTGTAGAGGGCTGGCGGGCACAGCTGCAAGCGGGGAGTCTTTGAGGAGAAATAGAAGACAGGGTTGATGACCAGGCCCTAGAGTGTCCCAGAAGGATGAGGAGACCGCGGAGGGCAAGCCGGCCAGGGGAGGCGAGGCAGCAACGGCGCTGAAGGGTGCGAAAGCCCAGAGTGACGGGTAGAGCCAGGACCTGGGGACAGTGCAGGGAACCCAACATCTGGACCCCGAGCGCCTTCGGCAGAGCAGGACTCGAGGCTGGTTTGTGTGGTTTCAAGAGAGAATGGGAGGAGAGGATGGAGTGATTAGACGACTCACAGCGTGCCGCCGTGAAGAGAAACAAAGAAACGGGGCCTTAGCTTGTGGGGCACAAGGTCAAGACAGGCTGGTGCTTGGGGGTTGTTTTCTTTTTTAAATAGGGCAGACATTTTAACACACTTAGACACTGATAGGGAAAATGAAGCAGAGAGACAAAAATCAGTAACGTGGGAAGAAGAGGAGAGCCATGCCTCTCGGTTGATGAAAGGGGCCACCTCTAGCACGCCGTGGAGGAGGTGGTCGTTGGCTGCACTGGGAAGAAGGCAGAGAGTGCTGGGTGCTGGTGGAGCAGGGGCACCCTGCTGATGGCTTCTGCTTCCCTTTCAAACAGCAGGGTGGTATTTCCTCGTCAAATAGGAAGCAAGGGACTTCCTTGTCAAAGAGTGAGGTGTCTCCTTGTCAAACTGGAGGTGACGTGTCTCCTTGTCCAACCGGAGGTGACGTGTCTCCTTGTCCAACCGGAGGTGACGTGTCTCCTTGTCCAACCGGAGGTGACGTATCTCCTTGTCAAACTGGAGGTGAGTGTCTCCTCGTCAAACAGGAAGCAAGAGGTTTCCTTGTCAAGCAGAAAGTAAGGTGTCTCCTCATGAAACATGAGGTGAGGTATCTCCTTGTTCAACAGAAGGTGAAATGTCTCCTTGTCCATCAGGAAAAGGTTTCCATTACAAAAATGAAGTGAGGGATTTCCTTCACAAAACAGAAATAAGTGGTTTCCATGTGAAATAGGTGTCTCCTGGTCAAACAGGACTTGAGAGGGGACTCCTGGTCAAACAGGAAGTGAGGGGTCTCCTTGTCAACAGGAAATGAGAAGCTTCCTTGTCAAACTGGAGAGGAGTTGTCTCCTTGTCAAGCACAAGGTGACGTGTGTCCTGGTCAAGCAGGAAGGTGGCGGTCAGTGTCCTTCCCTTGCAGGTAGCCATGGTTGCCCAGGACATGTTCTCCATCTTCCTGATTCCTGCCAGCAAGGTGGCTGTGTCTCTCAGTTCTGGACAAAGAGGCTGAAGTGCCGTGAGGTGTGGCATTGGAACTCTCCTGAAGGTTTCGACCGAGAGCCCACCCACTGCGGCCGCCTCTGTTCCTCCCCCATACCACCTGACCTGCAGACCACCAAAGTCTGAAATCCAGGTGCTGGCCGGGCCATCCCTCCTCCAGAGGCTCGGGGGAGAATCCTTCCTTGCCTCTTCCAGCTCCTGGTGGCCCCGGGTGTCCCTCGCCTTGTGGCTGCATCCCTCCAGTCTCACCTACTTTCATATCCTTCTCCTCCCGTCTCCAGACTCCCTCTGGTCCTCTCTCTCTCTCACACACACAAGAGCAGACATGATTCTGTTTACAGCCCACTTGTATAATCCAGGATGAGGCCTTCCTCTCAAAATCCTTAACTTAATCACATCTACTGCCCTTTAGAATGATGTTAGCCCTTTGTCATACTAGACGATGTTCACCGATTCCGGGGATTAGGGTGTGGACACATCCTCGGGGCCACGGGTCAGCCCGCTACTGGAGGTAATCACTAAACCACCATGTCTACAACTCTCTCCTTGCGCTGCTTTTACTGTCATCGTAGCAGGTATCACCGTGTGCCACCCCCCATGTCTGTCCATCTCCTCACCCGGATACAAGCTCCTTGAAGGCAGGACTACATCATTCCCTGTTCTCAATCCCTCAGACACCAAGAATGGGCACATGGCAGGATCTGACCAGTCTCATCCAAGCAGTATGATTGGGGCCCCCAAACCTACCTGTCATGGGAACTGTACTTCTTATAATCCTTCATAAACTTCTGCGTGTCTAGAACCCCACACAGGAGGCACATTTCCGAGCTATCCCCCAGCGGTCATCAGTTGTGCTAGCGCCCTTCCGGGGGATCTCTGAACCTGAGCTTCTGGACTTCCTGCCCTTCCACATGGTTGGAGAGCTGTGAGAGCTTCAGAGCAGCCCAGGCCTCTCTGAGCACTATACCCAGACGGCACAAAACACGAAACACTTCACGGGTTCAGATGGCACGGCACAATCACGGACGTGGTCCTGGGTGGACCCGCCACCTTACCTCTGTGATGGGAGATTTAGGATTCACGTTTCTGGCAGCAGCGATTTCCTGGAGCTGGTTGACCAGCTCCGTGATGGACAGTCGCTCATCCGGGTTGACCCTCAGCATGGAACCTGAAACAGAGTTGCAGCTGCGTGTTCACACAGGGTGCGACCAGAGCCAGGGCAGTTCCAGAAACTCTCCTGGGTGTTAGGTTCCTGGGGTGGCGCCCTAGTAACCAGCTCTCACAGAGGCTGCAGATGACCAGAGGCCACTCACCTAAGCGCATCACTCCATTTTTAAAAGCAAGCAAGGGACTGACTACAACCGTGAACAGCAATAAAACAGAACAAAATCATCACCGTTTCATAACACTGTCAATGCACCCAAGGCCTAACCTGATGTGGGGCTCCATGAAAAAGCCACGGGCACTCAGTGACACTGTCAGACCCGAGATGACTGGTGCAGACCCCGAGGGGAGGCCTACGCTGCAGCTGCCCGGGGCTGCAACGGTGGGAGGGGAGTGCAGTGAGCAGCCCCCCGTGCAGCAGAGGGATCCGCCCTCGCCCGTGAGGCCCCCCACCACGCTCTCACCTCACGGTGCAAACTTACGAATGAGATCGTGGAAGACGGTGTACCGAGTGTCGTTCAGAGGAATGGAGAATTTCCCGTTAACAATTCGAAGTTTGGCTCCATCTTCAAAAGGGTGCTGCTGGAAGCACAGCAGGTACAAGATGCAGCCCAGGGCCTGGGGGACGGGGAAGACAAAGACGCAAGGTGAGCGCCCCAGGCAGGTGGGGGATGAGGCTACAAGCTGAGCACCTAAGGCCTGGGGGGGGACAAAGACACGAGGTGAGGACCCAGGGCCTACGAGGACAAGCACGCAGGCTGAGGGCCCAGGGCCTATGGGGACAAGGACAAGGATCTTACAGATCTCATGGATGCAAACATAAGAACCACCTGGGAATCCTGTTAAGATCCTGACCCAGCCTGTCTGGGATGGACAAGTACATTTGCAGCAGGGGTCAAACCGGAACGAACTGGTTGGCAGCCCCCCAGCTCAGGGCCGTGCTCGTCGCGCTCCCTCACGCGTCTTCTCCACACCCAGCAACCTCAGAAAGCCTCCTGGCTCGGGGAGGAGCCCAGGCCCAGCTCCTCTGTGAACGGCGCAGCCTCTCAGCTGAAACAGTCCAGGAGCCTGGAGCGTAGCGGGGGCCTGTGGCCTGGCGGCCGGCTGGGACCCCAAGCCAGCCCCTCCCCCGGATGCTCCGGGACACACGGCTATTCCTGTGTAACAGGCTACGTGGCCCCCGAGGGAAAGCTCCGTGTTCACGTTCCACAGTTCAGGGCAGTGAGACGAGGAGCCAGAACCTGGCGGAGGTCTTGTTTTCCGCGTCTCGCAAGTTTTCCGCCATCGATGGGCTGAAGTCTTACCACTTTAGGGTCCCTCGTTTCGGTGTAAAATACTGAGCTTTCCTGCCTGACAGGTTTCCACCTCATGCAGGTTTTACCGTGTTGAGCCCAGAGTGAATTAGCAGAGTTCAAACATGCAGGAAGTTACTGATCACGGCAGTTACGGGTGGTCACAGCAGCGGCCCTGAGCCGACTACCAGTCTTCGCCCACAGACCACTTGTTCTGCCTCCCACCACATCACACCTGCATAAACTAAGGTGGGGCACCAGTCCTCATCCTCACATGAGAGTTGAGCCGGCCCCCGTGAGCGGCACCCGAGAAGATCCAGGGAACACAGTGCCTGACGTGTGCATGTCCTAGGTGAATGCCACTCAGCCCACCCTCGGTGGAGGTCCCCTCCTGTCTGGGGGTGGGGGCACACACACACCTGGTCCCACGCTGGGACACATGCTAAGGGACCACTCTGAACCAAGCAGGAGCGGCTCATTCAAATGCAGCACAGGCCTGATGACCATGACTGCTTCTCTCAGTAGAAAAACAAAACTAAGCTGGAGCCCATTAACTCCAGCCTTCAGAACCGTGTGGTCAAGGATTAACTGAGACTCAGATGGAGACAGTGTGGCATGTCCCAAGTAGGCCCGTCCTGTCCAGACCAGTGTCCAGCCCATTCGTGGAGAGGACAGGTGGTTTGCAGTTCCTGATCAGCCAAGGGAACCCTGTACCCTATTTGGGCCCAGTCTGTTGGCTCCATGCCCATCTTATCCACAACCACCAATGGGGGCTGTGTCTCACCACCTCTCAGGGACATTCCTACCAAGGATATCCACACAACAGCCAGCAGGCAACCTCAGGAACTCGGAAAACACTGTGTATGTGGTGGGAGAGTAAAGGCGGGATGACCAGGGCCTATCAGCTGCCTCACAGCCTGCTGGACTGCTCATGGCCACTGTCTCTGGGCCATGCTCCCATGACCTGACCAGCCCACCTGTCCTGCCAGTGCTGCCATTGCCTCTGACAAGGGTGCCCACCCCAACTCCTCTGACTGATGTAACCAATGGGACTCTAGATCAGTGGGGGCTGCTACTGTTTAATGCAGTGACGTGATCTTTTTTTAATGTTCAGAAATCAAAAACACAGCTGCCATGGAGTCGATTCTGACCCACAGCGCCCCTAGAGGACAGAGCGGAACTGCCCCATGGGGTCTCCAAGGCTGTCAGTCTTCACAGAAGCAAAGCTCAAACCACACCCACTGCCGTGGAGTCCATTCTGACCCACAGCGCCTCTAGAGGACTGAGTGGACCTGCCCACAGAGTCTCCAAGGCTGTCAATCTTCAGGGAAAAAAAGCCCAAACCACACCCACTGCCGTGGAGTCCATTCTGACTCACAGCGCCCCTAGAGGACAGAGTGAAACTGCCCCACAGGGTCTCCAAGGCTGTCAGTCTTCACGGAAGCAAAGCCCAAACCACACCCACTGCCGTGGAGACTATTTTGACCCACAGCGCCCCTAGAGGACAGAGTGGAACTGCCCACAGGGTCTCCAAAGCTGTAATTTTTATAGAAGCAGACTGTCTCATCTTTCTCCTGCAGAGCGGCTAGTGGGTTCAAACCACTAACCTAATGATGAGCAGCTGACTGCTTTAACTGCTACACCACTAGAGCTCCTTATAGCGTTCAGAATCTGGTTCTTACTCGTCTTCAAATAAATGTGCTACAGACTCTCTCCTTTCATTTTTTGGGGCCAAAGGCTTTCAAAATATGTATTCAATCTAAAAATTATACAGTAAACATAGTGGTAGGATGTGTAACACACCCATAGACCGATATAGCAGCACCCTGTTTCAGTAAATCTGTCCAAACCTTAAGGTCAGGAAAAAAAAATTAACCAAGCCCAATGACAGGTCTGGCTTTTGCCCCTGGCTTCTGGGAAGTGGTCTCTACACTTCGGAAGGTCCTGCCTGACAAGAGTTTCTGTTTCCCTGGGAGACGTGGGTCACACCAGATCATCTGTGAACAGTATGATCTCTGGTGGGACCTTGTGTCATGTGGCTTAAGCTTGACCTCTGCAGGAGCTAGAGACAAGGCTGCCCACAAGACAACCTTGTCTACGTGGCCAACCCCACTAAAAATCCACTAGTGAAGCCTGAGTAAGCTTCCCTGGTTGGCAATACCCTGCACATTGCCACAGGGTTGCCAGAAAGAGTTTGCTGTCCACAACTCCACAAGGAGAGGGCCACGTGGAACTCTCTGGACTCTGCTGCCTGGCCTCTTTCTGTAGCTGATTGGCATCTGCTTTCTTTCGCTGTAACCAAGAGGCTAACAGCTTTCAGTGAGTTCTGTGGGTCCTTCCAGTGACTGAGCAAACCTGAGGGGGGTGCTCGGACTCCCTGAGCACATAAACGCTATCAGAACTGAGGATGGTCGAGTCAGGCCCAACTCCCAGTGCGACCTTGTGGACACAGCACAAAATGCCGCCCGAGCCTGTGCCATCCGCACAGTCCTTGCTGCACCTGAGCCCGCCGTTACAGCCACTGTGTCACTCCATCTCGTTGAAGGTCTTCTCCTTTTTCCCTGATCCTCTACTTCTCCAGGGACTGGGCCCTTCTGACAACATGACCCAAGGAGGGAGACAAAGTCTGGCCATTCTTGCTTCCAAGGAGCATCCTGGCTGCCCTTCCAGGATAGATTTGTTCATTCTTCTGGCAGTCCACGGTACTTTCAGCATTCTTCGCCAACACCACAACTCAAAACCATCGACTCTTCTTCGGTCATCCTTATTCACTGTCCAGCTCTCACATGCATATGAGGCAATTGAAAAGACCATGGCTTAGGTTAGGTATACTTTAAAGTGACATTTTTGCTCTTTAACTCTTTAAAGAATGGTCTTGTTGTTGTTGTTGTTGTTGTTATGTGCCGCGGAGTCGGCCCCAACTCATAGCGACCCCTCCTTGGGTTTCCGAGGCAGTATCACTACGGAAGTAGATTGCCCCATCTTCCTTCCGAGGAGTGGCTGGTGGGTTTTAACCGCCAGCCTTCTGGTTAGCAGTCAAGTGCCTTAGCCACTATGCTACCAGAGCTCCCAAAGAGTGGTCTTAGGGACTCTCAAATTCTGCAGTGGTGTCAGAAGTGAGGGTGGTTTTAGGAACCTCTCCCCAACCTTATACAAACTACAGTCAGTCTCCACTTAAAAGACCAGGGCTAAAATGTGTATATGTAACAACCTAGGCACTCAGGCCCAGACCTCACAGGTTAGATCATATCCCTCAGGTGCAAAAAACACACCAATGTACTCACACAGGGGCCCTGAGCCAGTGTGTGATTGTCAATGCCACCATCATCCCTGTTTTTAGGTGAATGCCGGTGGCGACAGCCAGACTAGGGAGGCACAGGAGACCTGTGTGTGGGCCCATGCCCTGCTGCCCCCCGCATGCTGAGGGGCACCGCAGGCAGCGGCGAGGAGGACCGTACCCAGATATCCTGCTTCTCGTTGATCGGGAAGTTGGCGTACAAGTCCACGACCTCTGGTGTTCTGTACATAGGAGTCGTGTTCCTTGTGATCTGAGGAACAAACACACACATTGTAAAGGAAGACTTACAAACGTTTTCTTTCACAGCAACGACCTGCACCCATTGTCCACGCAGGACCCTGTGAACAGACACTGATTTACGCCGCACATGTTCCCGAGAGGTCTGGGTGGCTCCACCCCCTCCTCACACACCACTGAGCTGCACTTGGTCTCCAGGAATCTCTTACTGCACCAACTTTTAATTAAAAAATAAGCCAGTGTTCCCCTCCTGTGCATCCTCTGTCGCCTGTTTACAAGCAGGAGGGTGTCCCCCTCAGCATGGGACATAAGCCAGAAGCCTGCCCATCAACCAGCCTGTGGACGTTAGGAGTTCCTGGGTGCCACAAACCAAAAGGCTGGAGAGTCGCGTCAACCCAGAGGCCCCTCTGAAGGCAGGCTTGTGGCCGACTGCTGGGAAATCCATCACTGAAACCCGGTGGGGCACAGCTCTCCCAGACACACAAGCAGGCACCTCTAGTCGGAGCCGACTCAGCATCTAGAAACCGGGTGGTGTGCTCACTGGCTGGAGGTGTCATTAGATTGCACATCGTTCTGAATGTGTGACAGGCTGCCAGTGAAACCCTCACTGTACGCGAACTTCAGATACAACTCTGACCCTTCGAGCCAGCAGCACCCCCCTTCCAGAAATCCACCCAGAAGACACGTTCCCAACAACACAAAAGCACATGTGTACAAGGTTACTCCTGGAGCAGCGTCTGCACGGTTAAAACACTAACAGCAACTGAAACAACAAGCATGGCATAGTGGCCAGAGCTAGGCTCAGCCCAACGGACCAGAGCAGGCTGCATCCCAGATCAACGGACCAGACTGGGCTGCGTCCCAGGAGATCAACGGATTAGAGCAGGCTGCGTCCCAGACGCCCAAAGGACTGGAAAGGGCTGCGTCCCAGGAACCCAAGGGATCAGAGCAGGCTGTGTCCCGGGAACCCAAAGGACTGGACAGGGCCGCATCCCAGGAGAGACCATGAAGCAACGCAACACAGAGGAGCAGCGCAGGCTCAGGACAGTGTTCTGAGCGAGAAGGGGAAGGTGGGACATACGTCTACCGGCTTATCCAGACACTGGAAGAATGAACCAGAAACCAGCGACACCAGGAGCCTACGTGGACTAGGAGCGAGAAGCTTGTTACACGTCTTACATAATAAAATAAAAAAAAGTAAATGGGCAAGGATGAGAAAGGGGGAAAGATACGTTAAGACCGAAAGTAAACTTAAAAAAATAAAAAGGAAAAGAAAAAACCCAATCTGTTTGAATTGAGGGATGTGACTATGCTGAAAAAGAAAATGAAAAGCAATCCAAGGAACCCCTAAACCCAGCACTGACAGTCTGTGGTATAGTAAATTACTTTGTGTGGCTTTCCTACCCATAAGTCTTTGTAAACTCCAAGGTGGGATTTTCTATGAGCAACTGAGGAGCTCCTGATTGCTTAAGGTGTCCACCTGGAGTATTTCTGTTGGGAGTGGCACAAAACAATGTTCTGGGAGGCGCCCACTCTCTCTCAGGTGCTTAGAGTTCTGATGCTATAATTGGCTAGTTTGACCACCCTGCTGGGCTCAAAAAGGAGGCCTCCTGGAGGCAGAACTCTCTCTGACTGCTGGTGGAGGAAGACGTGCTGCTGAAAGAGACACGGGCTCCTGAGACACGCGTTGCTGGGAAAGAGACGCAAGAGACATGCACCCCAGAAAGAGACTGTGAGAGACTCTTGGCTGAGGGATGGTGGGCTGGAGAGAGAGACTGAGCATTTTTTCCTAAGCGCAAATTGTAGCTTGGTGCTCCCCTAATAAACCTTGTAATCTGTGAGTTCTGTGTGGCCACTGCAGCGAATTATCGAACCCAGGAGAGAGGTGGTGGGTGCTTTGGGAGGAACGGTTGGAGAAAGGGCTGGAGGGAGGCAGCATGTCTGGCCTGGCAGGAATAGGCCTTGGGTTACTGCTGGTAATCCTGTCTTCCCCTTGTGGGATTAGAGAAGGTCAGAACATGTGGCCTCCTTGCCGTTTTTGCACAGTCCAACCCAAAGAACTCTAAAACCCAGTACTGACAGTCCTAATCCAAGTCCAAACTCCTGAGCCCGCGCTGACGGTCCCAATCCACCAACTGCTGAGCCAGAGCCGACGGTCCTAATCCGAGGAACTCCCGAGCCCGTCCCAGTATCTGAGGATACCAGCACCACATCCTCATCCATTAACGCCTGAGCCGGTGTCAACAGCCCACCCTCCATCTTTGGTGGGGCAAAATGTCATCAACCCCAAGAGTATACCTTTCCCTAGGGGGGGGGGCAGATTAATTCTCCAATGTCTGGATGTATATTAGGATTGATCAAATAAAGAAACATGCTGATGCTGCTAGAAGCCAGTGTCGCCCAAGAAGGAGGGACATACAAATATGGACGGAAGGGACAAGAAACGCTCTTGTGTGCAGATGAGGACTGCAGGTGTTTCTGTGGATTGAGATTTCTAAAATGAGCGTATCTACATGCATGTGGATGTGCACGTGTACATGTATGTATGCAAAGGTGTACACGTGTGTGGATGTACACACACTCCCTCCTCCCGAGCAGACCATGGTCGCAGCTGGTAGGGCCTCGCTGCCCTCAGGCTCTGGCAGTGTACCTGTCACAGACTGACCGGTGTGCTCCAGAATGCGTGCTGAAAGCCACACTCTGATACTTGTGTCTATGACACTGTTTGGAAATCGGGGCTATTCCCGTATTATGCTAATGAGATCAGAACAGTGCAGAGGGGACCGTAAACCTAACCCCTTCTGAATTATAGAGGGGACCATAAACCTAACCCCTTCCGAGTTACAGAAACACCAGACTTGACAGACACGCACTGGGAAAGGCAGACGCTGAGGGATTCCCGGCTACCAACAAGGAAGCTGATGCCGATTTGGACTTCCAGCCTCCACAACTGTGAGGCAGGCAATTTCTGTTCTTTAAAGTCACCCCCTTGTGGCTGCGGCAGCCGCAGGAAATGAGGATTCCACTTGAGGAGAATGCTGGTGTCTAGCACCAAAACCGTCCAGTACCGGGTTGGACACGGTTTTCCTACAAATGCTCTTGCACAAAAAGTGAGATCCTGCTAGGTTCATGGGATGCTCTAGGAAACCCACTTCTTAGGACTAATGGGGTTCCAAGGGATGAGAATGCTCCCTCCTTTGATACATGCTGTCTGGTGCTAGGGAGTGAGGAAAAACATTATTGACAAAGAAGCACGTCCACAATGGCTGTGTTCCAGAGTGGAAAACACCCACACTTCTCTTCAGCCCAATCCTGCATGTTTTGATTACTTAGTGCCACTCTGACGGGAATATACCACAAGTGGGATACATGAACAAAAGGAGTTTATTCTCTTACAGTTCAGAGGCTTTAAGTCCAAGTTCAAAGTGCCAGGCTCTAGGGGCTGGGTAAAAGCCCCTCAACCTTAGACTTCAGCTTTGCCTCCTGCTCCCAGCCCACTGGAGCTAGAGGTATTTCTTCACTCAGACAGCTGCTGGCTACTGAAACTGACAAGCCCAAGGTTGACAAGTAAAAAGGCACAATCCCAATGTTACCAAACCCACATGGCAGGTTCAAGTCCACTGAAAGTCCCAAGGTCAGCAGAGCATGGCAGGCTGCTGAACGACAACACAGCTACCTGCAGGGTTCAAGTGTGCCAAAAGCTAGCGACTGTTCCCCAAGGCTTCTGCTTATATATGAGAAGCAGCCCACATCCCTAAGGCAGCTACTCAGCTGCTCCAGAAGATTCCACCATGGAGTTGATGACCAGTCTCATCATGGGGAGTAACTACATCCAGCTGCCCAGCCACTCAAGCAGGCCCAGCCAAGCTGACACAGAAATGTAACCACCACATGGCAGCAAAGCTATCTGCATAACACAGATGTCAACAAACCCTGGGAGAGAGTGGACGGGTGCTCCGTGGAGGAGCAAGCAAGAGGAGGCTTTGACGGGCAAAGCGGCTCCAAGCAGGTATCTGCCGGGAGCAGGTCCAGAGACAGAGGCTGAGGCCAGCACCTCTGATGGGGGACAATCTCTGCAGCTGGGCTGCACCCTTCAGAGCCGCCGGCTTCCGCCAGCACGCCTTAGAGCGGGCCTTCAGAGCCACCTTCCCCCATCTTTTTTCCTTTTGGTTTATCTTTTCTGTTTTCATTTGTTTGGACAACTTACATAAACTTTTAACTGGAGAAGAAGCTGCCTGCAGAGACGCACCCGTCCTAGGTGCAAAGCTTGGGGATGTGCAGGGACTGAACACACCGTGCAAGCAGCCCTCCCTCCAGATCAAGAGCCAGCCTGTGCCCCTCTGGTCCCTGTCTGACCTCCCCTCCCCAGGGGCCCTCCTTCTGAGATGCCAAACCTCAGCTTTGCCCATGTTTGTGCTTATCCTTCTGCCCAGCGTCTTGCCCTTAAGTCCCACTGTAGACATGGTCCATGTGGCCAGGCACTGTCCAGCACCCACTGTCCACACAGGCCATGCCACCCAATGCCCTGTGGGGATGGCGGGCTTCCTGCAGGAGTTGAGTCTCCCTGTGGATATGTTTTAGAGAGATTTTTTGAAACAGCCTTTATGCATTCAGACTCGGGTATGGGAGGTAGATGATGATGAACGGAATGCTCTACCTAAAAACAGGAAGCAGGGGGATGAGTTTACTAGACTGTGTCTGTGGCCATAACCAGCCCCCAGGTGGTCTAAAAAGAGAACTTACAAAGCTGCTTGGAGAAGGCAGAGGCCCTGCAGAGCAGGGTGCCCTGGCTGCTGGCATGGGAGGAGCTGTTCAGACCTTATTCTGCAAGGGCACTGCACACCTGCACTCCAAGAACCCCCGTGGCTACAAGGATGAAAGGGGGCCCGACCTTGAGAAGCCGCTGCTGACGGGCACGCACCACAGCTACCTGCCCTCACCTCTTCCTCCACCATCGCTCGCTTCTGAGCGCTCCAACTGTAGTCAGGGTAATGCGACATGGTCGTGGCACTGCCAAAGTCACACAGCTTGATGGTCCCCTGGTCACTAACCAGCAAGTTTTCAACCTGCAAAATTCCAGAATAAAGAACTTAGGAACGTGGGGCAGGGACACAATGACCATGATGCAGAGATACACGAACAAGACCGTGTTTCAACAGGACCCAGCACCCTTG